TTTTAATTGCTTGCAAATGCATTTTCTCTGTCCCATTATGTTGCCTTTCGGCTGTTGTGGTGAGGCAGAATACAAATTTGCAAGAAGGAGGAAACATGGTGGTGGGCATTGGAGGGGTTAGCTATGTTCAGGGGGAACGGGAATGGGCAGGTTTCTTCAGGACAACTGTGATCTTGCAGCTTGAAGAAACCCCCTCCAAAACTCCCCACACTCATTGCCTACGGCTGCAGTCTGTGAACTCCAGTGTCAAATCTTCCTCTCTCCTTTTTTCCCCCCTCAGAAGAGAAAAAGCAATATAATGTAACTTGTACTCTCAAAATAATGGTTCTTAAAGGGAAACAAGAGGAAAAAAAAAAAATTCTCACTACAGACTCTTTTTGTTTCCTCTGTTTTATTTAGGATTTATTTATTTACCAGACAGGGCTTGTCTGTCTCTGTTTGCATGAGTGGAAAGGTAGGCAGACAGACAGGTTTGCCTGAAAATGAAGGTGGGTAGTCTGTGTGTGCATGTGGGGGGGTGCTACCAGCTCCCTCCCTCTAACCCACAGAGGTCTGGGCCTCTCCCAGGGTTTTCCCTGCATCCAAAGTCCAGGGAAGGGAGATGGGGTGGTGATGCTCAGCACAGAGGGGGTCCACGTTCAGATTTACCCCCTCTGCCAAACAAGAGGGAGGATTGCGGTGGACCAGGGGAGCAGGAGAAGGAGAAATAGATTTGCCAGGCGAGGGGGGGGTGTGAGGGGAGGGGGAGACAAAGGATCGACAAACAATAGATCTGCAAACAATGGGCAGAACCCAGTGATACACAAAGGGCACCCCAAGGCTACTTTTATTTTAGGTCATCTGAGTGTCCCCAAAGCTCACAGCCCCCGAACTTCAAGAACTGCAGAGGACAAAGGGGATGGAAAAGAGTATTTAGCAAAAAGCCTTTGCCGGCTGCTGAAGGGGGACGTCCCTTTGGGTCCTTTGCAGAAAAGAGCATGGCAGAGGATGGACCCTGCTCCAGGAATGTCCTGGTAGTGTTGACCCCAGCTGGCTGTGATGGCTTGAACTGCTCTCTGGTCTCATTCAGACATAAGAAATTCCAGGAAAAGTCGTCAGAAGTTTAGGTCCAGCAAGGACCAAGTTTTGGTGACTCTCAGCGGAAGAGAAGAACTAGGAATTAAAATAAACAATTACTGGGCGACCAGCAAAATGCAGGAGCTGAGGAGGGAAAAATGAAAAGAAAATTAGTAATTTCAGGTTCCTAAATGCTGGTAAGCTTTTTTAAGTCAAACACGAGGTGAGAGAGTTCTGTGAGTGCAGGGAGCTGCTCTCAAACAGCAGTCAGACGTTAAGCCCAGACTGTCCCTGCAGCAGCACCAGCCGCTTTGCACACTTCAGTGAACTACCAGGGAAACCGAGATGATCCCAGAGAGGGAGCTTTTATTTTCTTGGGTTTCCCCCACACACACACATCCCCACCCCTTCTAGCAGCCCAGTCAGCTTTTTTTCCAGACCCCTAAAAAAAAAAAAAAAAAAAAAAAAAAAAAAAAAAAAAAGGAAAAAACACCCAACCAGACCCAAAACCCCCTTCTGTAGCCTAGGAGCAGAAGCAAACTTTAAGCAGGGGGATAAACAACGTGCCCAGCCACAATGAAACTCAACGCGAAGTCTGTCTGCTCTGACCATTAGCTCATGGAATTGGTTGGAAAACCAGAAAGCTCCCAATTAACTTCCCTAGAAGATTTTCTTTGGGAGCAATTAATAGGTGCTTCGCAGTTTGACTCGCGTTATTAATTGGATTGGGGGGAGTTAAAAGCGCAAACGGTCTATATGATTTTTTAGGGTCTGTAAGCGAAGCTAACAGATGGAACTGACCAGTAACGTGCATCTGGCAAGCCGGGTTTCTTCTAAACTTTCCTCCAAACAAAACCATTTTGGTGGCTTTGTTGTTGTTGGAAGCGAAGTTGGGCTCCGAGCTGCCTGGTGGTGTGACTGTGGCTTTGCCTGGGCTGCGTGGGCGTGGGGAGGGAGGATGGAGGGGCAAGGGGTCGGACCGGGGGGGAGATCTCTCGCAAGACGGATCTCCTGCAGCGGGCTGATCTCCTGGCAGCTCGGGAAGCGAGTTGGGAAAGCATCAGCCCTTGCACCGTGCGCGTCCTTCCCCGCACTCACAGGGGCTGGGCAGCCCCCTCCCCGAGGCAGCGCTGGGGTGCGGGATGATAACTGCACCCCGGCACCCACAGCACTCAAAAGAAGGGAATCTGCGCCTAAATCCTTTCCCGGCCTCTCCCACACCCGTAGTTTTTTGAGAAAATAATAATAATTAAAAAAGGCATAGGCGGGTGAAGTGTGCGGTGGAGGTGAGCTGGAGGGGGAGCGCCGGAGCGCGATAAATCACGGCAGGGACTCGGCTGCGCTCCGCGCTCCCCTGCCCAGGGCTGCCCGGTCGTGTCCCCTCGCTGTCTGTGCCCCGATCATGCACTGAGCTGGGCTTGCCTTGGCGAGGTCGAAGAAAATGCCCCCCCC